AACAAAGTAACGCTGCCATACCTTTAATCGTTTCCCATACCCATCCCATCGAGTGCTTTCTCTCTCTGATCCCCATCTAAGCCGCCGACATTTGCATAACGATCCGATCCGAGGATCCATCGGATCCATCGGATCGCCAAGTGCACCTCAGCGACAGACCTTAATGGCCGCGACCGTCATGCAAATTGCAACTGCTGCCGCCTCAACGATGTGCCATCAATGCATCAGCTGCCAAATTACATGTTGCAAGCCACCGAAGAAATTATGAATTATTACAAAAAATACTCGTGCTCGTGAGGAAAAAGATGCATATACTCGGAGACAAAGACCTAGGGATCCGAGGATCTGGCTGAGGATGTGCCAGGGGAGTGGGTATGTCTATGGCCATGGGGATGGGGATGCTAGAGGAAATGCAGATAAGGGTAGGGCTGCCGCAGGGGGACACAGACACAGGCACAGGCACAAATTGAATCGAAGGGCCAAAGGTGCTACACGCACACAGAAGACAGAGCGAGAGAGCGAGAGAGCGAGAGAGAGGGTCGCCTCTGTGTCATTGTTATAGAAAAAGCTGACACCGGAACGGGAAAAAATATATTTAAGTAGGAATGGAGGAGAGAGAGAAATGAAATGAAAAAAAAATGAAATAATATGAAATATAAAGGGGGCGGTGCCCGGGCCACTCCCCTTGCCACACGGCTCGAGAAATGGAAATCGTAATAAACGCAATAATAATCATGAGCTGGGAAAACAACAATGCAACAAAAAGCGGCACAGGCACAGGCATAGGCATGGGCACTGGGAGAAAGAAAAAAACACACGAGCCGGGGTAAATGGATATGGAAACCGAATGGAAATGGAAACCCACCCTTGCATCACGTCGCAACGGACGGCATCCTGCGGCATCCTGTGGCATCTCCTCGTAAACGAATTATAAACACATAGGTGCACCTCTTCTTCCATGATTGATCCCCACCTCTCCCCTCCCGCTCAGTTTGTCAGCTTCCAGCACGTGACTCCTGCCACAGCTGCCCCTTCCTGGGGATCGGGTGCCCCGCCTGGCGCCTGACTGGGACTTCTCCATTCTTTTCTCCCCATCCAATCCCAACCCAACCAACTCTCTATTCTCTATTCTCTCCGATATCTGTTGTTGAATTAAGCGATTATCACCGCAGGACACAAATCGTAGGGAACCGGGAAAGGGAAACTGGGTAATTGTGGAGCGTGCTTCGCCCAAAGTCCGTGCTTCGCTCGTCAGGCAGCTGTGTGGGTTCTGATCTACTACTTTACCATTTATTTACTATTTTCCAAAGATTAATCTGGAATAGAAGTTTGCGGAAGAAGGCCAACAAATAGCCATCTAGAATGGAACAGAAGATGTCGAAAATCGTCCTTTTTACTTGTCCAACAATTTTCTATCTTTAAATTAAAGCTGGAATATAGGTTCCGATTGTGCAACACTTCCATTAATTAGCTTACATATTTGAATACTCCTTTTACGATGGGCAAGGCCAAAACCAATCAGAGTCAAGATGTTGATTGGGCAGAAAAAAGGTTTCGGAAATTCAAATGAAGGCCTGTCATGGCTTTTTTGGAAATCTAGGCTAGCGAAAATTCTGCAAATTCCGTGTTTAATTTGTAATAGAAAATATTCAGTATTTACATGTTTGTTTTATTTCTTGGTTTGATCTCAGAAATCGCTGACACAGCCAACTCTAATATGCGATCTTAATGGTACTAGCTGCCGGGGCTGTATACCATATTGACAGACATGCTGGTGGTCTTTATTTTATGGATTAAGAGTTATTTGTATATTTAGAAGTATTTAGAAGTCATCGTATGTGGGCATTTTCATGGAAAAGTCCACCGGGATCAGATAATTAAAAGCTTATGTAAATTCATTTCCATTTACTTTTAGCCCGATATAATTTTCTAAATTGATTGAAATATTACTAATTTATCAAATTAGCACACAGTTTCATTCACTTTGGTCTGAAAACCTTTTCATAATAAGCAAAAGATAACTTTTTTATTATTTTATGATATTTTTTATTGTCATGTTTTCTTTGACTCAAGGAAATATGAAGTGATTTATTGAATGTGATGTGGGATGATAAAGTAAAAAGCATGGGAAAAAATATAGATCATTTATTGTGTATATACACGATGGAGCACTACATTAGAAAACACTCCAGAGTATTCGATTCCGTTTCGCGGATTTATGCATTTTTTACTAGATTAAGCCAAAGTCGAATTCTATTTCGCGTAAGCTCGCGACCGATTGTTTATTGCTATCATTATGAAAACTAAAACTCGACTAGCCTCACATTTTATTCTAAACAAAGAGCTAAAACAATGCTATCGAATCGCAGAATATACTACATATGTATATACTTTTGTCAGGTATTCTGTTATTAGTTTTGTTTTTTTAGTGGAGGTATTGCTTAAATATTGGTGAATATTCAGTGATATTTTGACGATTGTTGTTCTATCTGGCTAGTGGCAAAACATAGGTAGAGGATGTGTTCCATGGCTACTGGCAGATCGGGGTGCTTTCGTGGTTTTTGTGTATTTTTTAATTTATTTAATAAACAAAGATAATATAATTTACGATACTAGCATTATACGTGTAATTTCTATATGTATCCCCTGTAGATATTCATAATTTGAAGCAGTTTTGCTTATGGGCAGAAGATCATTCAAGTTCGTTGCCTAAGTCTTTTGTTTCTCCGAAAATTTTCCGAGGCAAAACCATTTGAATAGAGTCCGCGCGGGGCCAGCATTATAATTAGAGGCAATAAAAACTGAATGAATATGAATATGAATGGGTTTCTTTTTCTGTTTTCTGTTTTCTGTTTTCGCCACTTTTCCAGTATTTTTTTCCCCCATTCCATTGCGCTCCGCTCTTTTAATTGGAGCACCAAGATGGAAAAAGGCAACGCAACGCAACGCAACGCATACTCGTACGAGACTCAATGAAACTTGATGTTATGCATTCAGTACGGGGCGGAGTGGAGCGGTGCCTGTGAGGTGTGCTTCTTTCGTTCACCTGCCTCCTCTGGGCCACGCCCTGCGCGTAATGTGGGTGCGAAATGGGATGCCAGGGGGAGGGCAGAAGGCCCTTTGCGGTTGAATGCGTGGCTGGATCTCAGGCTCGTTTGGCTAATTCGATACGGAGAAGGTTGCAATTATACAGTCATATGTATGCGAGTATATAGAAATTTATGATGCCCCTGCCCTGCGCTCGCCGATGCGGGTCTAGGCCAACACTCTCCTGCCCAACAATGGCCGACTCCGACTCCGATAATTAAGCGCAATAAAAGGCAATTAAAAGGCAGCTTAATTAACAAACCGCAAACAATATGCAAAGGAAGCAGGCTTCGACATCAAATAGAAAATTAGAATAATTCTTGATGGGGCGGGAATTCCGGGAATTTCCATTCGAAAACTTGGGCTTGAGAGTCAGGCAGAAGTTCTGCAAACTTAAAGGGGAAAATTATTATCAAGAGGAGCTGCTTTCATACTAGTTTTTCACACTCCACTTTCGGATCTCACACCCCAACTGGGTCTGTGATCTCGTAAATAGGGGAACATCGTATAGACTTTTACTTGGGCAAGGATAAAGAATGGACCTTGCCTCATCTTCGGGTCCTCGCAGATGCACAACTTTGAAGGGGCGCAACCGCAGTCCAACCGTCAGCAGGCAAACCGCAAAGATTGGCCTGTGAGAAAAATGTTTTTTCTCCTCGTAATTGTTGACTTTTTACAACTCGAGTACCACTTGCGGTTTGTGGACAAACATTACAAAGGTATTACATGCTCCGGTGGTAAAGCAGGAAGAGCAGACAGGGGACAGGGGACAGGGCGCTGGGAGCTGGGGGACTGGATAGGACGACAGTTGTCCAGGGTCAGTTGCAAATGGATTTTTAAATGGTTCGATAACCGCAAGGAGCCCAAGAAAAGCAGAAAGCAGAGACCAGAAACAAGACAAAGTGGAAGACAGCGTGAAATTATAAATAAATTCTCTAGCACGCACACGACCTGAGAGAGAGAGGGGGGGAGCCGACTGATCACGCATAACGGATCTTTTAATTAGGGCCATAAACGCGGGATTCCAAAGCGAATCAATCAAAGTGAATCGCACACCGATCTGGAATCGATTGCCAACCGTCGACAATCAGCGGATCAGCGAAGATCAATAAACCAGCTCCAGCCCCGTACTCATCCGATCGCCACCCTCTCTCTCTCTCGCGTGACCACTTTTCTGGCCAAGTTGCGTTTCAGTTGGCAATAAAGGCATCGAGGGATCGAGGGATCCAGCCAGAAAGCGGCGGCTATCGATGGCTGGTCTGGCTGCATCCGAGGATCGATCGCTAATTATGTGAAATTATTGATTATTGCGGGCTTTTCACTAAACCACCAAATTGCGTGTACGTGCGTCGGCCTTGTGACCTTGACAGTTAAGTTGATCGCTTTTACCTGTGAACACTGTGCTACATGGCGCGGGGAACGACAAATTATGGAAAATGGCAGGAAAAAGAACAAGGCAAGATAATTATTTTCAGTTTGCATTCTTCTGCGGGATAACACAAAGTTTGGCATTCCAAATATTGGTGGTTTTATGGACTTTCATATATTTCGTCAACGAGATTTGCAAAAAAATCCATAAAAATTATTTACTTCTTGTGTCTAACTTCGTGTTACACATTGTTACCCATTCCCGCCTAGTACAGATTCAACAACATAGCTATAAAAAAACTCCCATTAAAAAATAATTTCCCTGAAGAGTAGTGTACAATTTTCAAAGTCTCCCTGGAAACAAGCCTCGAGGCGAAATTCAAAATGCGCGCACTTGCTGCTGCCGCCCTCTATTGCCTGCAGCTGTGAACTAGCGTTTGGAACGCTTCGAAAAAAAGCCGCAGGCTGCGCTCGCACGCAATCAACCCTGTCCGAGTCGACAGCTGTTTGATACGCGCTCTCTCTCGCTCGCTCTTTCTTTCCACGCCGTCAGCAGCCGACAGTGTTTTGCTGCCGCATCAAAAGTTATTTGTAAATATTTAAAACAATTCCCACCACCGACATTCTAAAATCTCCTAACAAATCGATTCGTCCCTTGCAGCGGAAGGCTGACCACAGCGGAGCACTTCTAGCAAATGTAAGTTGTGGCCGCCGATAGTGAGGTTATGTCCGAACGCGGCTGGCTGAACGAAATTTGTGGCCGAAAATAGTTAACAAAAATTGAGTTCTTCCGCAAGCAGCCAGCAGACAACAGGCGAACAGAACAGCCACAAGATGCCACCTAAGAAGCACGAGGAGCCAGAGCGCAAGCCCCTGATCGGACGCATTGGCACCAATCTGAGAATCGGCATCGTCGGCGTCCCCAATGTGGGCAAGTCGACGTTCTTCAATGTGCTGACCGAGAGCGCCGCCCCGGCGGAGAACTTCCCCTTTTGCACGATCAAGCCGAATGAGAATAAGTATTACCAATTATCCATCGGCCCGCGGGCCCCCAGGGCCCCGCAAAATCCAAAAATCCAGGCGGGGGCAATTTCTTTAATCATTGTAATCAGTATTTTGAATATAATTTTTATTCAAGACTTGTCGATGGCAATGGACTGCCCCCAGGAGCAGTCGCCACATCCACAGCCGCTTCTAATTCCAAATTGCTTGCTGGCTCCGCCTGCACTGGACGCGGGGCTGGTCTGGGTCTGGGTCTGGTCCTTCTAAAAAGAAACTATTTCGTTTGGGGCGTGTCGCGGCCTTAGCAATTTTATCAGATCCAGTTTCCAATATGCAAATTGCCCCCGCATCCAGTCCACCCGGTCCACGGTCTACCGTCCTCGGATCGGTTTCAGTTTCTTGAGCGACTTCATTTTGGTTTCAGACTCTCGTGGATTGTTCAAAATTATAGAAAATTGCCATGATTGGCGGCCCGCTGATGCTGCCGGGGCTTCTCGTTCCACTCTCTTGCCATGTAAGCTAACATGCGTCTCGTCGCTCTTCTTTCGTTTTTTCGTTCCATGTGGTGGGCTGTGATGTGATGTGGCTGCCTTTGCCCTACCCACACGTCGCGTTCCGGTCCCCGACGAGCGCTTCGACTACCTCGTGGAGTACCACAAGCCGGCCAGGTGAGTCCTTGCGCTTTCAGTTTCTTTCCGCCTTGAATGTGTCACTGACTTCTGTTTCTGTTTTTTCAGCGTGGTGCCCGCTTACCTGAATGTAGTGGACATTGCCGGTCTGGTCAAGGGAGCAGCCGAAGGCCAGGGGCTGGGCAACGACTTCCTTTCGCACATCAGCGCTTGCGATGCCATTTTCCATTTATGCCGTGCCTTCGAGGACCCCGACGTTACGCACGTAGAGGGCGAGGTTGACCCAGTGCGCGATCTGGAGATCATCTCCGAGGAGCTGCGCCTCAAGGACGAGGAGAAGCTCCTGCAGAATCTGGACAAGCTGGAGAAGATGGTGGCCCGCGGTGGCGACAAGAAACTTAAGCCCGAGTACGACTCCATGGTGAAGATCAAGGAGATATTGATCGACCAGAAGCGTCATCTGCGCTTCGAGGACTGGAATGCCCACGATGTGAGCGAGAATCCCCCCTCTCAATCTTTGCATCCCGCTCATACTAATGATCTCCGCTTTTGCCGTCTCGCTCGCTATTGTGCAGATTGAGGCGCTCAACAAGTATCTGTTCCTGACATCGAAGCCGGTCATCTACCTGGTGAACCTCTCCGACAAGGACTTCATACGCAAGAAGAACAAGTGGCTGCCCAAGATCAAGGAGTGGATCGACAAGAACGATCCAGGCGCCCTGCTCATCCCCTTCTCGGGCGCCTTCGAGCATCAGCTGAGCGAGAAAGATGAGCTCGAACGCAAAGCCTACGAAACGGAGACCAAGTGCAAGAGTCAGCTGGACAAAATCATCATCACCGGCTATAAGGCACTGCAGCTTGAGTACTTCTTCACCGCCGGCCCCGACGAGGTCAAGGCCTGGACCATCCAGAAGGGCACCAAGGCCCCGGCCGCCGCCGGCCGCATTCATACTGACTTCGAGAAGGGCTTCATCATGGCCGAGATAATGCACTTTGCTGACTTCAAGGCGGAAGGCAGCGAGGCTGCCGCAAAGGCTGCTGGCAAGTACCGTCAGCAAGGACGCAATCACACCGTCGAAGACGGCGACATCATCTTCTTCAAGTTCAATGCCGGCGCCGGTCTGAAGGACGCCAAGAAGAAATGATACCGCCTGGCCGCCCTCATCGCCATGTCCACCATTCTGTATATTAATTTGATTTTATACTCCCAGATGTTTCACTTTGCCTGAGGCCACGCAAACCCGCTAAACCGAATCCCCTCTCCTACACGCATGATCATGCCTTAGAATGATGCATTTTGAATTTCTTTTGTACGCCACGTAAACACTTTGACACTCTCAACCATCGTTGTTCTTGTTTCTGGTACAGTCAGGGCTCCAAATGAACCTGATTTGCACAATAACGAAGGATAATAAGCTATAATAATGCACGAAAGGCACCAGCCGACAACTCAGGGATATGGCTAAGCATTGGCCAAATAAAGTTGGAGACTAAAATGACGTCCCACCGCACCCCATCAATCTGTGGATTCGAGCACGAGATCGTCGGAGGAACCGTCTTTCGTTTGGTTCGGAGAGACGGCGATCTTTCTATTTTTATCTGATTAAAATCGTGGCATTTCCCGAAATGACCTTGAATGTCGGGACAGCAGATATTTTTGGTACATTAGCTGTGGAATGACTGCCCCGACCTGGGACGTGCGAGTGTGGTTCCGAAGCGATCGGGAAATCGAATTCTGAGGGGAATTGCTGTATCTGTGGCCTACGGATGTATCGAAATATTTGATGGTATTTGTTGTCTCTATTTATGCGAGATATGTACGGTCTTCCCCAGATTTAGGCTTTGAAAACTTCACAGAATTAGTTCATTCTTTTGGCTATATCTCGCCCAAATGTAGTGCATTAGGGCGTGGCATGTCTTTCCGTTCATCAACTGACATGCGAAAAAAAGAAATCGATTTTGTGCCGATGCCAAAAATCGGCAAGTCGAAAACTCACAATACGTTCTCCCAACAATGTGTGATTGTATTTTCGTTTTCAGAGTTTGGTTTCTGTTTCCTGTTGTGGTTCCAGCGTACTTTAATGTATGGGTCAAAGAATGCCTCTGCCATTGTCACGGGCTTTGCGTGAGGTTATAGTATTGCTGGCCTCTAGAACTGAAAGTTGTGTTTCGTTTTCGTTGCTGTTTCCCTTGAGGGTCCAGCGTATTTTAATGTATGGGTGTACGGTGTACAGAGTCCATAGGTTTTCCGATTGTTGCCTTCTGTGGTCTATTTGTTTTTTGGTTTCCGTACTCACTTACCTTTACTTTAGTATTTTTGGAGCTCTTGTCCGACAGAAGAACCGTGGCATTCGCATCAGAAAAAGAGAAATGGACAAATGATTTCCAATTTGATGCGAAAGTATGACAAAGCTGGGCTGGCTGGCTCCTGATGATGCGGCGGTGGCCCAACGCCGGAGCCGACGACCCTGGGATCTAGTCCAGCTAGTTCGTTTGCGACATGTTCGGTGTATCTACATATATACTGTGTGGTTGGTTAGTGCCAGAGTCTGGCACTCCCTGATTTGTAGCTTATAGCTTTACGAAGATTCCGATTCAAACAAGTTCGGTTCACCCTTTTCGCTATATCGCGGCTAAATCTGGACAGATCAGAGCCAGCTTTGTAACGCCAGGATATTTCCTAGTCAACTAACAAGCAACAGAAAAGGATCAGTACTACTCAGTACTCAGTAATCAGTACTCTTTTCATGTCTAGCTGTCAGAAATGTACGGGTAGGGGGCGAAGAGGTAATGCACTTTCTTGCGTGTAAGCCTCGCAAAATGTATCGCTTACCATCATTAGCTTCTGTCAAAGGTCCCAGGCATTGACAATCTCGCAACTGAGGTTTCAGGACTGGAACTGAAACTGAAACTGAGACTGAATGCAGCAGCTCTTCGTTTTCTTTCCGAAAAGTTTTTAATCATCTTGCCACAGCGCTCACAAAGTTGGGAAGGAACACCTGTGCAAAGAGCGCCGGCCAGCAGCAAGCTACAAGACTACTACAAGACAAGGCACAAAGGCGAAGGGCCAAAAGGGGCTGGATGGGGAATGGATAGGGGAGGGGCCCCTTGCTGTGCAAATGCAGCTGCAAGACGCACACAAAGCGGCAAAGCGGTGGTGGGGTCTCGGCGAGTGCATGGGTGGGTGGCTCGGCGGTTGTGTGGTTTCCCGCCCCATCACCGACTCTGGTCGCAGCGGCAAGTTCCTAAGCACATAATTTGGTTTACCGCATTGCCAAACATGCGCCTCCATGAAACACGCACCAGGAACCAGGAACCAGGCACCGGGCACTCCCCCCCCCTCTTGGGAGGCGCTCTTGCTCTGGCACTGGCTCCGTCTCTCTGTTAATCTTTGCCGTAAGAAACTTTTCTTGTGCACTGTGGAACGAATTGCGGGAACAAATCCATTTTCCAATTTTATATTTCAACTCTTGGTATGAGTATAATTTCATAGAAATTTAAATCTAATCTTTGCACTTCTTCTATTCGCTTCTGAAGGCGTTTTTCTGTGGGTGTAATACCGTGTAAGCGTCTCTTCTTTAATTTCATGGCGATTGGTCTTATATCCATATATAGTAGACATATGTATGTGTGACCAGGTTTCCTTAAGATTTTCTGTAGGCTTTCTTTTGATATTCTTTAGATCTCCCTTAGATCTCCTTTTGATGTCCCTTAGACCTACTTTACACCTCCTATAGCTATAGATCTTCGTTGGTTTCTTCCAACGTCCAATGTCTGCAATGGTATATCTCGTGCGGTGCCCACTGTACGTGCGGCCTGCACTCCTGCATCCTTTTGGCTGGCCAAAAACTTTGGCGTGGCAGCAACTTTTCATATGAAATGTGCAAAATTACACACTCCTAGCCCAGCCCAGCCCAGCCCCAAGAAACGAGCCGACAAAAATATTTTGAATGTTTTATTAGCACAGAGAAGGAGCCGCAGAAGAGGGGCAGTCAGAATGGGGCAGGAGGGGGGAATGTAAATGCAATTGCAGTGGATTTGTAGTTAATTAAAGTGTAATGTCTGGCCATGTATGAGTCTGCTCTATGGGTCTCTGCTTCACCTCCTCCTTGGCTGATCCTGATCCTGATCCTGTTGGGCGCCAAAACGTTGACAAGCCCCATCAGATGGGCATGAAATATGGCCACTCTAAGTTCGGGCAAATGGCTCTTGCTCTGGCTATAGCTATGGCTATGGCTATGGCTATGGCTATGGCCATGGCCAGAACTGCCCTCGACGCCCGTCAACAAAGAGGCCAAACACAAATCATTCAGACTACAACAAGTCGGCATGGCAGGAATCCCAGGTCCAGTTGGTCGGCCAAACGGGGGCTGTAGGGATACCCTTTCGGTGTCCCCCTATGGCCAAAACTGCGCTGGTCTTGACCCTCCAAAGAGGTACTACTATGAAGCCCTGTCCGATCTGTTGGCCTTTGTGAGGGCGCTAGGGCTCCCCGTTGTCATAGCCAAGGGACCCTCGCGCCAGCAAGGATATCAAAAACATTTCAAGCCTGTTGGCGAGGAGGTTTTTTCCTGTCTTGTTTGTTAGCTTGCCATTTGTCAGGCGGCAATCGTGCACTCAATTCAAAAATTCATTCAATTCAATTGAAAAATGGCGTTGAATATTTGACGCATGCAACGGCAGACGGACAGAGGGGCAGATGGTTAGGGGTGTGGGTGTGGCATTGGGTGTGGAGCATCAACTGTCACTGGCAGAAGCAATGGCCAGCAAAGCGTTAAAAATGGCTGTCATAAATTAATGAGCGACGAGCGTTCGTTCGAGTGACGCATCGAAATTGAATTGAATATATTTTTCGCTGAATTGCATTCATTATTCATTTACAGCTGCCTTCCGTCTTCTGCCGTAAGCCCGTGTGTACCGTATAATCTCTGCCACACCCTCCTCCTGCGCCCCTGCGTGCCTGCCCCACTATTCTATTCCTCTAGCTCTTCTGGTGTGTCCAACTCCAGCTCCAGCTCCAGCTCGAGCTCCAGCTCCGGCTCCAATTGGATGGCCACTTTAATTGCTTGTAAAAAGTGCAATGCACCGTAAGCAGAAACGGAGTCCCACTCACCCACTGACCCGGCACCCACGCCCACGCCCACGCCCACGCCCACACCCACGCCCACGCCCACGCTCCCGATTAACGCATCTGCCACCCCAGCCCATAGCCCACAGCCCACTCTACCAGGCCAGGCCCGTCTCAATTTCAATCCCAATCTGGCCATAAACGTGACAATAATATAAATCAGCAGATTGTGCCGCTCTCTCTCGATGCTGCAGCGACAGTGGCAGTGGCAGTGGCAGTGGCAGTGGCAGTGCTACAGGCATCATCCTCGGGCCCCATCCTGGACCTTATCATCATAATCATACTCTCACCATCCCCCCATCAGCATCAGCATCATCATCATCATCATCATCATCATTATCAGCGGCAGCATCATCATTGTTCTTGTCGTCTACGTCTACGTTGGCATTTAACTTAATGCCCACATGCGGCGACAGCGTAAAACGATCTGAGGATTAGAGTCCTTCGCCCCGCCAGTAGCCAGGAGCAGCAACAGGAGGCACTGGCACTGGGAGGCAGGAAGAGGAAGCGGGCCCCCGTCCTCCGTCCTCCGTCCGCCGTCCGCTGGTTGCAACTAAGGTAAAACGTGCCGTTCCTGGAAATAAAGCGTGTAATTGTTTTGGCAGCTGCCGAAACGTTTTAACAGCTAATTAAGGAGCCATCAGAGAGAGAGAAAGAGAGAGAGAAATAGGAGGCAGCAGATGGGGTCCTACTCTCCAGGAAACTCTGGGTAATCTATACCGAGAGGATCTTGGCAGACTTAAATGGAATGGGGATTGGGGAGTGGGAACGGGAACGGGAACGGGATTCAGGAGCACCGCGTATGAGTACCTACTACCGATACTCGTGTTATTTGAGCACACCTTAAATCCATGGTGCATACTCGTGTGAGTAATCACTTTGCGATTCCTCTCTCTCTCTCTCTTTGGGAATCCTGTGTCTTTAAATCTACTGGCTGGGAATCTCTGCGCAGCTGAGACTGAGACCAACCTCTGTGGCAAGCTTCGGGATCCCCCTGCGGTTAATCGCAGCTGCAGTTCCAGCTCCTGCTCCCTGCACTTACCCATATGAATCTTCCCGGCTAGGGAATTCCCATTTGTGTGCTCAAGTTGATGCCACAAAAGCCGCTCCAGCCGCACGAGCAGAGCAATCTCATTAACACCTCCACCGTCCAGGGGCTGCTCTCCCGCACACTCTCGCGGGCAGACGGGGGGATATGAGAGTAATTAAATTC